ATTTTTTGGGTTAATTAAGACAAAAATCATTATATTTTATGTTAATTGATTAATAATTATATTTTTTATTGAATAATATAATAGTTAATATTAAAATTAGTAATTATATTTTATACTAAATAATATATGAAAGTTACATAAAATTATATTTTACACTAAAATCAATATTTTTTTATATGATGAAGCGGTTATCTATTAATAAATTATTTTTTTTATGTCATAGTAAAATTTCTTAAAATAACATAAGCAATTGTTGCAATAAATGTAATATTTTTCAGCTAATTAATTGGTTATGATCACTCAAAATTATAAAAAGTATATTATTATTACATTTATGCAATCAATATAGTGATTCGTATACAATCAAATCGTGTGTACTATTTATTTTAACTAATGATCAAATTTTAAAATATAATACTATTATATAATTTATAATTTTAATATTATATACATAAATATCACTTATAATACTATATGTTTGAAATATAATACAATTATATAACTTATAATTTTTATATTATATACATAAATATAACTTATAATATTTAATTTTATTTACATTTGTGCAAATGCACAGAGTCGAATACTAGTGAGATCTAGAGAGAGAGATGAGCGGGGGCAATCGATTCACATGTATTATGAATATCTGTTTTCTTCTCATGAGCTTAATGATGTATATATATATATAGCTACAGTAGGGATCCTTAAGAAAATAGGAATAGGGCTTCTTAAGTATTGGACTAACTGTTGGCCAAGCCCGCTCTTCCAATTATTTAAATAATATTACGGTCCACTAACGTAATATTATTGCACTCCCTTTTCCTAGTCCAAATTACATTTGAGACTCCAATTATAATTACCCGAATTACCTCCCCATGTTTAAGATATAATGTCTATTAATTAATTCGATTACTGACAATCAAGAATTAATTAATATATTATTTATTTCACCGAAGCTAGCACTCGTTCATCACATTATTTTTATGCCGGAACTTATTCCACCTGCAGGGTTTAGTATAACAACCCTTCATGAACTCACTTCGGGGACATCATCAAACTAAACGTACATGGTGACCGTAAATATCCTAATATCACATCATACATACAACAATATTACCCAAGATAGTAAGAATATTGATCCACCAAACTGAACCTCACTCAAGTGAATCAAAGTAATATGTACTGCATATATATGTCTGTTTAATATCTTACGGGTTAAGAGAATGCAGTAATTAACTGAGGCCTAGTTCGTTTACGACGATCAGTACAGAACGAACTTCTCCTCTCTGGGATCCTGTTCAATACATAAATGTACTAGTGCAACTAATCAGTCAAGACCAACTGTACCGTTGACACTACAACCGTTCGGATGCGGTGTTCATTTCCGGCTAGGTTGTGAACCACAATTCTTGTTTCGGAAGTAACTGATAGAATGATCTTCTGTTCGCCCGATGACAACTCATTCTATCTAAGTGCAAAACAACAGAACATAGAGTTTGTTTAATCCAACATGATTCTCATTCATAAAGGGCAAAAGTGTAATACCATCCAAAGCCAAGCTTTCAGTATATAACACTAACAGCTAGGTCAGGCTCTAGGCGATCTTTGGATCTGCCTCCCAGTCTTTCAACCTTTGGTTGTATTTTTCAGCTTTTGGCTGCTTCTCTTCGCACTTTGTGCAGTTTTTATTTATATAAGATATCTAGTGTTTTGGAAAAAAACCTAAACTATCTCATATTTCAATAATGAATTAGTTACTAATATATGAAGAAATATTACATGCTCATTAAGATGGATTAAAGTCCATGATCTTGTTTTTGATCTTTTTCAACTATAAGCATATCTATAATGGTTACTTTCCAACACCAGTGCAATCAAAACATGTTTTTCACATCTTCTTCATCAGTCAAACTCACTGATTTCTTTTCATTGGGTGCAATGTAGCATTAGATGGGGAACTGTGAATTTCATCTAGCCACCTCTTAGCAATACGTGTGTATATATCTTCAAGACTCAATCCAACGTGTGTACAGAAGACAAACAATTCATTATTGTTGGAACAACTCCCTAATAACTCAATTTGTGTCCCTTCCATTATTCTTTGTGTATCTAATATTAATTTAAAATTCAAAATGAGTTGGATAAAATGAAATTTAATATTTTCAACACAAATAACAAAGGTATTATATTATTCACAAAAAAGGTACGATGCACATGCATCAATGGTACTATGTTAATCTACGATAAATTGACATAAGCTAATATAAAAAGTTGGTAGATATGAAAAAAAAATATATCAGTGACACCCTTTTTTGAGGTGAATATTAAGAACAAGAATTTGATTTTTCTATAAAAAAACAATAAAACCTTCACAATCAATTTCTCAGACGTTGAAAGATTTTCACAAACACAGACTGCTTTGTTTGTCGAAAAAGGCGAGCTCGGAATTTGTTGGGAAAAAGACGAGTCAAGAGTCTGCCGGAGATGGTCGTTTGTCTTTTGCTGGAGTTCTTCGCACCTGCCATTCATAGGAGATCGTTGCTGCAGGCCCGCAACACCTACAAAAAATAAGGAAAATTTTAATCGGGAGAAAGGGAAAAGGGTGACAAGGGAAAGTGAAGAAAGAATAAAAAGAATATGGTAAAAAGTTAGTAAGTGAAGGGTGATACCGACAAGTGATTGATATAATGAGTTTGTGCATTTTTTTAATAGTTAGGGAGTTATGTGAAAAATTTTGTTTGGGAGTTCACCACCGTTTTGTTCTTTGTTTTGTTTTGTTTTGTTTTGTTTTTCTTAAGGATTGAACAAGAAATGAAAATGAGGTTTATGAATTTAGTGGAAAAACTCCATATGTAATTGGATGAATAGTATTTTTTTTTTAAATGTTTAGTAATAATAATAATTTTTTATAGTTTAATCTATTTATTAATATATAAAGAGGCAATGATATTTGCTTGAAAGGGTAACTAAAAATCAGTAGAAAAACATTTGGTTTCCGGCATAAAAATTCATATTTACTAAATTGGGTAATTTTTTTGGGCAAAATTTGAAAAATCCCGTTTAAATTAATGTATAGAATCATTTTGGTCAAATATTGCGGCTATTACCTTTATTAGTTGTTTGATTTAAATTTGATATATAATACATTGAAAAAACTTGCGTTATTACCTTTATTAGTTGCATTGTTTAAATTTGGTATATAATATATTGAAAAAATAATATTTAAAATTAAAAATCAAAAAAATAATTATTCATAACTTATGAGTCAATATTAACTTGGAAGTAAATGAAATAGTTAATTATTTATAGTTTAATAAATTCCTCGACTACTTAATTTTTTCGATTTGAATAGTTTATACAAAAATAAATTCATTTTAATTAATGAAACAATATAAATTTTATATTTATACTTATTATTCACATTGGTTGTTAAATATATGATAAAATTTTACCAAATTAACTATTTTATGGAATCACATTATAGTCAAATCGAATTTCTGAATAAAATTTTTGAAATGACAGTTACTTTGAAACGAATATAATGTAATTTATTATCATTTATGTGCTCCGCACGAGTTGTGTATTAATTTTAAATAGACATTTTATGTAATTTTGCACAATTTAAACTTTATATAACATTTTCAATAAATTAATATAAGTAAATTGTGTTTCATATTGATTCCATATTTTTAATTTATAATATTATTTAATAAGAATTTTTAATTTATAAATATTAATGAATATCTTTGATCCATGCACTGCACGAGATTCATACTAGTTGTGTTTATGAGTTTTATAGAGAAAAAGAAATTAGAGAATAGATAGTATATTTAAAAAAATTAGAGAATATATAGTATTTTTTTTATGAAAAATGTTTATTTTATTTTCAGTTTAATCATCCAACCGCAACTTCATTTCTTTACCAATAAATTTCGTTTTCACTTTTACTAGCATTCATATGTTTTCCGCTCTGACAAGATGAAGCTGACTGCTGCAGTTTTCCTCGTGACTACAATTTTATTGGCCTCAAAATCAGCTTTGAGCATCAGATTTCCGGATCGGATCTCTAACCCGGATGGAGCAACCGATCAGATCCTTCGTACTGCGGTTTTTGCCCTGGGTAGTTTCTGGAGGTCCGAGGCCGCGTTTGGTTGCCTGGATGGCGTCATAAGGACCTCTGCCGGTTATGCCGGCGGATCCAGACCAAGTCCAGAGTACCGAAGCTTAGGTGATCATGCGGAGTCTGTTCAGGTTGTTATATTTCTCATTCACTTTTTCTTTTTCCGGATTAATGGAGTTTCGAGGATAATACATGTCAATTGTCTTTTTGCTGTCAAGTGATTGACTAGTTAATGCGGAAAAAGATAGGTCAAGCTGAGAAATGAGATGTAGTGTTAGTGAGAGGCAACTCGAGTTTTAATCCGGTTAATTGAATATTGAGCTGTGTTTCAGATTTATTGTGAAGTGATGGAGATTATGTGTATTCAGGTTTCAAGGAGAGTTTGCTACTTTACCTTTGATTTAGAGTACACATTAAAATTATTTCCCTCCAAGATTCAATCACAATTGAATGTGTTTATGATCATGTGATCTTTGCAAATTGTGTGTAACAGAGAACAGATAAATTTGCTTATGCATCCTTTGAAATGCTTTGGTACGTGTGTTTCCAATGAAAAAATTATAAAGAAAAAAATAGTGCAATTTTCTGCTGCTTGTAACTTGTCTCTAGGCCTTTGAAAAACCTGAACCCAAGGTGAGTTTGGTCAATATTCTATCTGCCACGATTGAGTTCAATAAAATTGATTGTATTATGACTCATATCCATAAATTTATTTTATAAATAAAGTGGCTCTGATTTTGCTTAGGAGAGGCTTTGCCCAAGTGGGAAGTGAGGACATCTAACTCTACATCTAAGAGATGTTGCATACTTGATATTCTGAAATAGCTTACTGTTGACTCTCTGGTTTTCATTCCCTATAATATAAATAAGTGGGGCTATGATTTGTATCGTTGTTTGGATTCATGTATTCAATTTAAATTACCTCAAAAAGTTTATTAATATATTTTTTTTTTATCAAATCTTGGACTTTCTGATATACTTGTTGAAGTAGCTGAATGATATATTTGCTCATACCTATATGTCATCGGAACCTCCCCAACTTCCCGGTAGTCGGAGATGCTCCCTCTCCCTATGTCAAAATTTTCACCATCTATTTTTCCCTTAATCCAGTTCAGTTCTTTATTATGGAAGTCTCTATTTTATTTTATTTTATTTTTTTTTAACAGAACAGTCCCCAGATTGATGACAGCATTATATCTATTGTATGGCATAGAAACCCAATAGGTGATTGGGACAACTCCTTATGTCATAGAGAAATGTACACACATTCACATTGAATGCAAGCATTTAGGAACATATTGTCTCTTAAAATGAGCTCCTACATGAAGGTTTCTTTAGATTTTGTACTTTCTCTGAGAAACTGTTGGGTGATCTTATTGGTGCTTTGTCTTCGTGGTGCATGCGTGGCCTAATTTTGGGTTGGAATTAAATTTTCTTGAATGGGTATCATTACCGGTGGAATATCATTTGAGTTTTCGATCTTTGGGTACACTGCCAGTGTAGAGCAGTAGAAGGAACCACTCATTCCAATCATCTTTGGCTGAAAATTTAGCTGATAACATTTATTTGCAGTTGCTAGGTGATTTATGTGCACAGTTACATCTTCTGACAAATCACGTGCTAATTGATCCATGTTTACTGCAGTCCTGAGATGTGGTGTATTGTATGCTGTGCAGATAGAATATGATCCTCAGATCATTAGTTACAAACAGCTACTTGATGTATTTTGGACTAGTCATGACTCCAGACAAGTATTTGGGCAAGGTCCTGATGTTGGAAATCAATACCGGTACTGTTTTTAACTTTCAGCACCTCCAACTAGCACCAGTCTTTATTAATTACTTAATCATGTGATCTGAAATGGTTATCATTATTCTTAAGCAGGTCCATAATTTTCACTAACGGGACAGAAGAATCCAGGTTTGCTGCTATTAGCAAAGAAAGGGAGCAAACTCGATCAAGGAATAGCGTCATCACCACTCAAATCCAGCAGCTAGAAACATTTTATCCTGCGGAATCTGAACATCAGGTTTGTTATTTTTGGTGGGGCAATTTTAAAGGAAAAAGTACTTCACCACAACATGGATAAAAATGATGTGGATGTTAAAGTGAAGTGATCTGTAACTTACATGATCATACCACGTATCACATGGGCATAATGTAAAAGTTTGTGTCATCCTTTATGTTAATAGAATGGCCTAATTATAAAACCTGGATTAGAGCTTTGACCTATTTTGGCGAAAACCCAGCTAGCTGTTGAAACTACAAAAGTCGCTTTTGAGGCTGACATCTGTCTTACAGTTTGCACTAGTTACTGGAAATATTGTAAACATAAACAGAATATTTTGACGATCACATCCCTGAACTTTTCTAAGAGTTGCAATGACCATACCCTATTGTTTGATCTGACATACAATGACACCCCTTAACTTCGTAAAATATCACAAATACCCAGAAGTAACAGTTGAACAATTTGTGTAATGTTTCAAAAATTTGAGCAGTGCATTTGTGTAATAGTTGATGATTTTTTAGCTGCAGACTTCGTTTCTTCAAGTTGAACCAAACCTGAATGTTTTATTTATTTTGTAAGCAGATGGGTCTTTCCGCAATTTATGCCCCAAGATTAGTTTCTGTAGCTACCCCTTATCATTTTAAAGATTTTCTTGAGAAAATAGCCTTTCATGGCGTCCCAACTTTCCACCCTTAAAAGTCGAAAAAGGCAGCTACACTGAAATAGATTCTGGTTATGCCTACTGCCTAGAGTTGCTTTTGGTATTAACGCTTAAAGTTTTATGGATTTTAAATCAAACACAAGAAACTTTCCACTTTCTTACTTATAAACTGAAGAATATTAGCTTGGATCACTTTTCCCTCCGGTCTTTTAAAATCTAAATTACCTTTGACCACCTTCGGACAGTAAGTAATTTGAAGCACAGATCATGTACTAATTGACAGAAATGTATGCCCCCACCTGCAGAAATTTGAGCTCAAACGAAATCCATTTCTTCTCCAATTAATTGGCAACTTGCCAGAAGAAGAACTCGAGAGATCCACCCTCGCAACAAAACTCAACGGCTATGCAGCAGAGCTTTGTCCACCTAGGATGCAAAGGCAGATTGATGCCAAGATAAATGACATCATAAGGAAAGGTTGGCCAATCCTAAGGGCAATTTAGCTTAGTGCATTCTTCTTGTCCTGGTTGATACAAAATCCTGCTGTTCGACTTTGAGCAGTCAAGTTTAGACCAAAATCAACCAGCTGACATTGATATTCAATGTTTATAGTAGGACTGTCTCCACTTGTTACACACTGAAGTATCTCAAACGGGCGTTTTCAACTGAGCTCTCTCTCGATGTCGTTATCAGCCTCGAACTTATTCAACTGTAGTTTGTGCCAGGGTTTTCACCATTTTTTGAGAATCCATGAGTCAACTTGGCTATATTTGTAATTCAATTGTATGACATAAATACTGCTGCTTTAGTACATAAAATTATCACGTACTACAGATTATGAAAATTTATGTGCCATTGATGACCTCGAAGTAGAGCTATAAACGAACCGAACCTTTGCAAACAAAAGCTCGTTCGTGTTCGACAAAAGCTTGTTCGTTTGTTAATCGAGACGAGTTCGAACAGAAATTAGGCTCATTTAATAAGCGAACGAACACGAGCTCGTTCGTGAACATTCGATTATGTTCACGAACATTAATTTAATATAATTTTATTTCATTTTTTATATATTTACATAATATTTTTAATAAAAAATCTAAAATTTAATATAATTTTATTTATTTTTTATATATTTACATAATATTTTTAATAAAAAATCTAAAATATAAAAATATTTTTATTTTACTCTTTCCTTTTCGAGTTTGAACGAACAAATTTCGAGTTAATCAAACATATTTAAAAAGTTTATGTATTAAATTATTTTAACACGAATTCAAAAGTATTTGAAATATTCCCGAAACTGAGACTAGGTCTAAACCAAATAAATCAAATACTAAGTCTAAATATTTTTTTTTTAAATCTATTTTTCATATAAAAAGTTTATGTGTTAAATTATTCGAACACGAACGAACTCGAAATTTCACGAACAATTAAATGAACGAACTCGAACACGATTTTTTGCTCGAAAGATAAACGAACGAACACAAACGCTGTTCGAACGTAAACGAACACGAGCTCGAACAGCCCAAGCTCGGCTCGTGTTCAGTTCGTTTACAGCACTACCTCGAAGGCTTCTTTAAAGTTAGTCTTATTTCAAAATGGTTTTTGTGCAAATTTTGGAATCTCATCTTGTAGAAGAACATATTTTATAAAAGGCTTGGATTTATTAGAAATAGTAATAGTAAGGTTTCCCGCTAAAAAATATTGCTTACTAAATAAGAAAATGTTTCGAGTCATGGTGAGACTTTTATTGTTGTTTTAGTAATGTGATATCATTATTTGATCTCAATATATTGATTAACTTTTTAGAAATAATCCAATCAATTATTTTATTTCTCAATAAACTATTTTTATTTTAATTTTTAGTTATACGCTATCAACAATTTGGGATTAAATTTTTAAAAAATTACAATTAATTATGTAGTTTCCACATAATTTAGAATTTTATTTTATTGGAAAAATATAAGTTAATGGAAGAGTAATTATTCATAAATATATATATTGATATAGCCACATAAGGATAACCCGGTCCAGAGGGTGTTTACTCGACCGGCGAACCACTCGGACAATTCGCATGTCGACACGCCTCCGTCGACAGGCTCAAAGCGACTTCCCAAAGTCGATTCTATCGAGAGCAATCGAGAAGCAGTCGACTTTCGCAAGTCGACCTTAGTGTATCGACTTCTACTAGTCGACATCAATGGAAGAAAAACATCAAGAGCTTAACTCCCAAAGCATTCAGATACTCTGGGTCGACTTCCACTAGTCGACTGCACCGCAGAGAGTTAAAGCAAGCGTAGCCTCCGAATCCGCACGAATCCACAAGTCGACTTCCCAGCTCTCGAGGTCGACTCTATACATCTCAAGGACCAGAGCAGTGAAGACGATTCACTACACTTATAGCCTATCTGAAGCTCTACATACCATAAAGGATAAGACGGAATCTTGTGATGACTCAGCAACAAGGGGAGACGAATCGACCAGGGCATTTTGGTCCTTCTAGGTCCACCGACTTGGGTATTTTGGGCACTTCAAGTAAGTATTCACTCCTATATAAAGAAGGTGAGGTAACCCCAAACCCTAACTCTCATTCACTCCCACTCTCCCCCATAGCTGCCGCGCAGCCTCCCTTCATCACTCTCATACTGACTTGAGCGTCGGAGGCTCTACGCCGGAAATACCTCCGGCGTTGAGTTTTTGCAGGAATCTCGCGGTCTAACGACGGTTGGGAAGCGGTTCAAGCAGATCTGAGCTCACAACAACCGGTTTACTCCAGATCTGAAAGTAGACCCATCATTTGGCGCCGTCTGTGGGGAGTTCTTGAAGGAAGTAAGAGCTTCACACCCAGCTCCGATCTGTTACCGATGGCGGAAAAGGAAGGGTTGCAGAGGAACTTGAGCGAGGAATTTAGAGGGACGTGGATGGACAAGAGGCCACCCCCGCTCTCCACCACCAAACACCTCGTAATGCAGATGATGGGGATGCCACCATTCGGAGGACTTCCACCACCAGGACGGACGTTTGGCGGAGAAACACCTGTAACTCCAACCGGCATGAAGCTGCAAGTGTTGACCCAGGCAAGAACAAGTCAAAACCCTAACCCAGATGGAGAGAAGGAACCAACGGAGGTGCCTCGACGTGAGGGAAAACAGATACAAGAGATACCGGAGCAGACACAACCCCGCGTCTAGGAACAGACTTTGACAATGACGAGGAGTGAAATGCAAAAGATGATTGCTGAAGCCGTGGCTGCCCAGATGAAGCAGATGGCGCGGGTCGAACAGCAGCCTCAAGTCGGGTACCCACCCCGGGTCGAGCAACAGCCCCGTGTCGAGTACCCGCCTCGAGTCGAGCAGCAGCTGCGTGGCAAGCAACAAGCCCAGTCAAATGTGCAACAGACAGGAGGGTGGATGAAGAAGAATCCTCCATTCGAACCGTTAATCCACAGGCGAGGGACGAGACGTTGGAACAACTACTGGCACAGGTTCGCGATTTGCAAGCTCGAGTAGGTGGGAAGAAGAGCAGAGGAGCCAAAGAACACCCATTCTCGCAGCAGATCCTGAGAGCCGACTTACCCAAAGGCTTTAGGGAGTTGAACATATGGTATGACGGTACCACAGACCCGTCTCGACATCTGCGGAGTTTCGAAAATATGGCAGTACTGCATCGCTACAGCGACCCCGTGCAATGTCGCGCTTTCTTGACGACTTTGACAGGGTCGGCCCAGGACTGGTTTCATCAATTACCGGCTGGGTCGATCAGGGATTTTGATGGCTTCAGCTCGAGCTTCCTTAACCAATTCGCAAGTGTGAGGGTGCAAGAGAAGTCTTACCTTTCGTTGATTAGCATGCAGCAGAAGAAGGGCGAGTCGTTGCGGGAGTATGTGGCAAGATTTACCAAGGCGTGCGTCGAGTGCCCAACAGCGACATAGGAAATCAAATCGGGAGGACTGACGAGGGGATTACTACCAGGGTTGTGTAAAAACTCTTTGGCCAAGCGACCTGGTAGGAGTTTCGATGACGTGTTGGGAAGGTGTGCCAAATACATGAATGTCGAGGAGGCCGAAGCCGACTACTTGCAAAGTGTGAAGATGTCTCAAACCGACAGTCGAGACGACAAGAAGGAAAAGAAGGGCCAATCGACAGGAGATAGAAGGGGATCCCCGAGGGCTGATAGGGTGAAGACAGATCTAGGGGATAGAGACCAACTCAGTATACACCCCTGTCGGCTCCCCACGCAAGAATTCTGGAAGTTATGGAGAGGGAAATCCGCGACGACGTGGTGAGGTGGCCGCGAACGAGGAAGGACGGACCCATAAAGCCCAAAAGCAACTTATACTGTCGATTCCACAAAGATTACGGGCAAAACACTGACGATTGTCGACACTTGAAGGACGAGATTGAAAGGTTGATAAAGGCAGGCCACCTGAAGGAGTTCATATACAAAGATCGGGAGAGGTCGAGCAGGAGACGAGAAAGGAGCAAGAGTCCTCGCAAGAGGGCGAGATCACCAGACAAGGAGGAACTCCCACCAAAAAGAGGGGTCATTAACATGATTTTCGGAGGGTCGACTGATGGAGATTCCAATCGGGCAAGAAAGGCCTATGCTCGAGGCCGATATGCGAAAGTCGAGGTGCAGCAGGTCGACGAGAGTGGACCGGTAATGAACTTTGGACCGGCGGACGTTGGTGAAGTCGAAAGGCCGCATAACGACGCCTTGATGATAACGGCGCAGATATCGGGATACGAGGTGCAAAGGGTGTTTGTCGACACCGGGAGTTCCGTGAACGTGATTTTCTATGAATGCCTCAGGAGGATGGAGCTTGACATTGAACTTACACCCCTACACACATCACTCTTCGGATTCAATGGCTCGGAAGTCGCTCCCCTAGGAGAAACTATGCTTGCTGTCGTCCTGGGGGAAGGCGACTTGAGGAAGGTAAAAATGGTGAGATTTGTGGTGGTCGATGTCGAGTCGGCTTATAACGTAATCCTAGGGAGACCAGCGCTCAATGCATTTCAAGCAGTCGTGTCGACCTATCACATGAAGTTGAAGTTCCCTGTGGGAGATCGAGTGGGAGAGGCTCGAGGGGATCAGAAGTTGTCGAGAACCTGTTACCAAATCGCGGTCAAAACCAATCAACGTGCTGAGATCAAGGAAGGCAAGAAACCAATGACGAGCGAAAAGAGGCCAAGAGGGAGTGACCTCGAGCCCCACGGGGAATTGATGGAGATTCAAATTGGAGAGTCAGAAGACCAAACCACAAAAGTCGGGAGAGAATTGGAGGACGAGTTGCGAGAGCAGTTGGTTGGGTTGCTAAAAGAATTCAGGGACATATTCGCTTTCTCCCCCGAAGAGTTAACAGGAATCGACTCGGAGGTTATGGAGCACAAACTCAATGTCGACCCCCTCAGAAAACCTGTGAAGCAACGACTCAGGCACCACGGTGCTGAAATCGACAAAGCCATCGAAGTCGAGGTGGATAAATTACTGAAGGCCAAACATATCAAGGAATCCAATTCCCCCGAATGGATATCTAACACAGTAATGGTGAGGAAGGCATTGAACAAATGGCGCATGTGCATCGACTTTCGTGACTTAAACTTGGCGTGTCCTAAAGATCATTATTCTTTACCGAGAATCGACCAGCTAGTCGACTCCACGGCTGGTTGCGAGTTGCTGAGCATGATGGACGCATCTCAGGGATACCATCAAATCCCTCTGGCTCCGGAAGATCAGAGTAAAGTGAGTTTCGTGACGAGTAAGGGGACATATTGTTACATTGTCATGCCCTTTGGCCTAAAAAATGCAGGAGCAACCTACCAGCGATTGATGGATCGAATGTTCAAACCCCAAATCGGTCGGAATATGGAAGTATATGTTGACGATATCCTGGTGAAAAGCAAGTCCTCGA